CGTGGTTAGTTTTCAGGGATGAGCAGAAACTTGAGTTCAAAAGTTTGGTCTTTGATATATAAAAGAGAAGAATCATTAATATATAAGAAAAACTCACTCGTGTAACTCTGAAGAGCCCAGATTAAAAGAAAAGTCATTGAGCAATTATAAACCATGTGGAATAACATGGATTCCAAAACTTAAGGAAAGGGACTGACTTAAAGTATTTTCTTTGGTAGAGGCTGACTTTCACAATATTAGAACATCCTGTTCCAATTTTCTATTTTAAATGTTGTATATTTTGACAAAAATGGCAATTTTTGCAGACATGAGCTTTCATCATACCAGAGAATTTCTGTCTATAGCAGAGGTTTCTTATGACAAGACAGTCATTCATACAATATAGCCTTCTCTTTCATTTCATCAGAAGAGTTATATCCAGCCATGATCTGAAGCCAAGCATCCATAAATTGGAATCACAGTGACCTGTTACATAAACTGTCTGCAAACAAAATACAGGAAATTTCATCTTACATGCTATAGATCAGATCTTCCTCCATGTTCACACGAAACAAAGCACATCACTAGCATTGAAGTTCATTGACCAACTAAATTGAGTTTTGATCAAGTAGTCATAGGTTGCTTTTGCACACCGACTTCCACATTTTTGATCTGGGCTATTCAGAGACCAGGCACAAAGCATATGGTACCAGATACGGGACATTATGATACTCTCAAATGAGTAGCAGTGCAGAAAATAGACCTAAGCAAGGGGACAGAGATAGGAGAACATAACAGACAGCAAAACTGGCTCATCAACATGAAGGAGAAGTTCACAGTTTGTCATTTGCTACCAAAACACCAATTCATTGCCAGTGACAGAAACTAGTTCTGTCCTGCAAGAAGCTGCTGACTACTAAGTTCTCAATTTTTTTTGGTGGTAAATCTGATAATCTTTTTCCAAACTAAAATACAACCCTAGAATTGTTACTGCTAGTAAGTTTACTTGTTGGCTGTGGTTTTGTTTATTTTTTCTTATAATAGGTGCTGCACCCATTCAAGAACTACAGAGTAAAGCAAAAATGCTTGGTAAGTTAATTTTACATTCACGGGCACATGCTGTGTTAGTAACAGTTCACAGGTCTGACTATGCTAATAAAGTAATTAAAACACAAAAGAAATAAAGGTTGATGCACAAATCTATCACACGTTGGCAACCCACATGAACTGTTTAACTTATTAATTATGCAAATCTATGTTCCCCCAAAGTTTTAGAACATTAATTAGAATTTTTAGTACTCCTTTGTAAATGCAAGATATTCCATAACAGAACCAATGAAAATATGATGTCTTTTTCATTTTGCTCTTTCCTTTAAAACTGTTGCCCACATCTGCTTCTTGCCCCCTTTTCAGAGATGTCTGTTGACAGACTATTTCAACAAGAAACACCTCATCCCCAAAGTCAAACCTGCAAATCAATCCCCTCTCACCCTCCTCCCATTTCAAACACCCCTCACACAGAATCACAGAATATTCTGAGTTGGAAGGGACCCACAAGAGTCATCAAGTCCAACTCTTAAGTGAATGGCCCAACAGAGATCAAACCCACAACCTTGGTGTTATTAGCACCATGCTCTAACCCCATGAGCTAATCTCAGGGTCAAACTCACCCAGAAAAAAACCCCCACTTCTCACAAGGCTCACTTTTCCAGGAACCAGGATCACAAAACCAGACCTGCACACAAAGCCACTGCAGATACCTGACACAAAGATATGTTGGTACCTTCAATATAAGGGTTCATTTTTGTGGTAGGTGACACTTTCTGAAACTGGTAAGTCTTTAACTTAGAGAGTTTAGAATACAAAGTTTACATGAATGAGGTATTGGGATTGCAACCCCAAATCCATCACAAAGTAGAAATATTTTGCACGCTTTAGTATGCAAAAGCATGTTCATCATTCAGTTGTTAAATTTAACAAATTCAATTTGTTAAAAAGCCACAGTACTTGGACCTCTAGTGAAGACCTGATTGCTGTATTAGTGGGGAAGAGTAAAAACATTCTTAAATTTTAAGTGTCCAACAGTACAGGTCATAGCTAGCTCCCTTATCCATAGCTTTCTAAGGTAAACTAAGTTTGTCTAATTATTTGCCTCATGGTCATATTTTTCCATCCCATTGTTTCATCACTTTTAAGCATAAATTATATGAACAATGAAATTTTGCAGCTTTGTGTACATATATTTAAAATCTACATTTCCTTCTATCTATCTTCTTCTATCACAGATGACTTTCTGTATTCATGTAGTCTTTTATATTAAATCTGTCCATTAAATCTGACCAAATATTGCACTTCCAAATTTTATAACATTTGCTTACCTCCCTCTTAATACCAAGCCTCTAGCCTGCATTATATTGATATTTAAAAAGGTGCAGCTGTCCTTTTACTTCTATAACATCTAAATGTCATAATTTATGGTGAATATTATGCATGAATTATCTAAAGTTTTTGGGCTTGATCATAAAAGCCAAAGGAGTGAATATGAATAAAATAAGAGCATGCCAAGTAATTCTGCAGACAAACCAGCAAACTGCTCAGTACCTCGCTGTTCACTAAAACATTTTCATCACACGTTATCAAAAGTTCCTTAAGTGCATTTCTCTCCATCTTTTACACAGCTTTCAAGTTCCTAATTTTTCTTATTTACTCTATTTCTAATAGAAAGTGACTTTTCATAACTTCCTCGATGTTCACAAAAAAGGAAGAGTTTGATTGGTAGAACACGTTAGAGAAAAAGGTTATTTAATCACTACTTTTAAAATACTGGTGTTATTGAAATATCCCATTTTCACTTTTGACTACCTACAAGTGATGTTCAGGTTCCTAACAGAAAATTCTCCTTATAATATCAAGTTAGGAAATAAGAATAACATACACAATATCTCTTAAATAGTATATAATTGATTTCACAAAAAGTAATAGCCATTTGTCAGCTATTTCACATATGAAGCTTCATGAAAAAAATATACAATAAGAAAAAGTGACATAGATTTATCACTAATTACTGTACTGCCTCAACACTGCAGCAAACTTTGCTTGCAATGATTCTATGAGTTTTGACAAGATCTGACCACACTTAGACTGAAGCCAGATTAGGCCAAAAATTATTTTACGCTGCTTTACTTCTCTCATCAGTCCAGGAAAATGCAGTGAAAGGGTGAATGAATAACAACAGTAAACTAGACTTCTGCTACTTTTAAAAAAGCTTCTGCTATGAACTGGGAGGAGACACGGATAGATATCAGTCAGTATTTTTTCAACATAAAATAATCCAACTCTATTACAGTGGTCACCTCATGAAAAAGAAAAAAGAACACAAGAAAACACAATATAATCTCAGTTAAGTATAGTTTAGAGGATCACAAATACAAGAATTAAACACTGCACATGTGCCAAAATGATTCACCTGACCTGAAATTCAATATTACTAAATTCCGAGTAGAGACTCCAGCACATTTTTCTTGTATGCTTTCTCTTCTTAAAACATACAGTACACCAAACACACTCATTAGTTATTTTTCTAATAACCAGGAAGTAGATAAGCCTTACAAAACATTAACATATTTAAAAGGGCATTAACAACAATCATTATAATCTTCATCAAAAAAATGCTACAGTATTACCATATTGAGCAAGCACAGCCTCAATAGCTACCATCTCAATAAAAAAAGTATTTTTACTTGTCAGGTACCTCATAAAACCAACTTACAGACCTCCCCGTAAGTTGTTTACTACTAGGAAATTGTTAGCCTGTAGAAAAATGGTCATGCTGTTTTGCAGTTCTTGTTTTGGAAACTTTCATCCAAGGTCTAGATTTCATCAACATAGAATAGTCAGAACTGTACTCACTTTACAATTTCTCTTAAATTGCATTACAGACTGAGAGGCAGTTCATCAAAGGACATTGCAAGTAAATCAGCAGATATGAGAGGGCAAGATAGATGTGTGCAGCATTAATCTTTCTAAACCCTGAAATATCAAGTTAAAAATCTTACAAAAATGATTCTGCTGCTGCAGTGCTCTACTATTATTCCCCTCACTCATCCAGGGGCTTCTCACAACAGTAGGTCAGAAATTTGCTCCTCTAAGGTCCTAGCTGAGACAAAGGTTTTAGGTAAAATATTATAAAGGGTACAATTCTCTCTTTTGCTGTCTATCAATCTACTCAGAACAAAGCTCACATACACACCAGCAATTGATGTTTCAACAGAAACAGAAAACCCACCCGTCAAACACCAAAGAAAAGTCAAAGGTCTTCATGCTTAAACTTCTATAAGAGGTCCTGGAATTCGAAAGAAAAACTATTTCCCAGTTCCATATCCTTATCACAGATGAATTTTACGTAAGGAATTGTTAAAATTCATTTAAGAAACTGGAGGCATTCACTTTTTGTGTTGCATTCGAGAAACGATAATGGCAGAAGCCATTAAGTGATTGCAGTTTTCTTAATTTCAGTACATGTAAATGACAAACTTGGATCAACTATTCTCAAGCACTTTTTTCACATTCCATTCAAAAAGAGTCACATTTCTCTGTATGGCTATTTTGTATTAGTATTTTTGAAGCTGCCTAGCTCAAAAAAATTCCAGGAACAAAATCTAATGATTTGGTTGCATCCCAAATGGTCAAACATAATACATTTTCCAATAAAAGGGAAGCATAAGGAAAAGATGTGGAAACATTAAAATTTGCAGTATTTCAGAAATAATTTATTCAAAATACTATATTAATGAAAGCTAATGAACAGCTCACAGACTCTTCCCTTTGACATGGAATTCAGTATTCATGCCAAGTAAAACAAAAGCCACTTATAAATATTTATTCCCAATAATATAGAAACAGCACTTCAAGGCAAGCATTCCATTAGGTCTGGTCTCCTTTCTTTTTGCTTCCCTTTAGTTTCTGTATAGATCACACAGCATTATAAATTTCAAGTTAAAACAAAACCAGTTGGGCCTTACCTCTGTCGCTGAAGTCATCCACAAGAATGATTTCTGCTATCAGGCTGTCTGGGGTGCGGTTGATAATACTGTGTATTGTTCTCAAGAGTGAAGTCCAGCCTTCATTATGAAATGGGATAATTATGCTAGTATTTGGCAGTGTTTCCAAGTACACCTTGTGCTTACAGCTGGAGAGGCAAGAAAACAATTGTATAAGCATAACAAAAATCTGAGTTGGCATACAGTGTCATCCATTTGGGCCATTCAACCATCACGGTTTCAGCCATAAAAATTCAACAGTACAATCAAGCAGTACTTTCACGTGACAATAACTAGTTAATTTAAAACATTTATATTGCTTACAATATAGAATAAATTGGAACACTGACAAAACTTAAGCACAATGAGTGAAGTATTTAACTGGCTGGAATTCTTTTCCTTTGCTGGAAACTTTTTCCTGCAAAATGACAGAGAATGTATCTTCTACAACATCATTTCCAGAAAAAAAACCACCCTCTTATCAGAAAGAATTCCAAAACATAATATGAAGTAAACGAAAATCTGAAGTGATCCTTTTTTTGTCCATAGCAAAGATTTTAAAAACAGTCTATTATAGCAGGAGATAAAACTTGAGAAAACAATTCAGTATTATCCTGGATGATACGTGCTTACAATATGAAAAGCAACAACATCCACAAATACAACTCCAACTTCACATCTCGATATCCAAAATGATTACTGATATTAAATATAGAGATAAAACACAGACTCATAAAGAAAGGTTGTTTACATTTCCTTTATTTTTCAAAGGAAAGCACTGTACATTCAGCATCTTAATTGCAATTTGTTTTCTCCTAATATCCAAAAATATTTTATGACTAAAGTTAAGTTTACTGCAACTTATAGGACCTCATCTTTCAAGTTTTATTGAAAAAGGGAAAAAAAGGGACACATTCCTCTGTTATTAACAAAGTCTGGAATTTTCACCTATTGGGGACAAAGTAACTGAATGATTTCTCACCCAGAAAAGTAAGTCACACCCTGATAAAGGTATCCCTACAAGCAGGAACATGTCAACTTTGCAATAAACAACCAAAATAATATTATCAAAAAAAAAAAAAAAAAAGGAAAAAAGTTTAGACCTGCAACTTCTAGGTTTAAAAAAAGTAGAGATATCTTTGCTCCTTGTCAGAAAGAATAACTATGCATAAACACTGCTGTAGGTTATAATTTTGATTTACATACATTTGCAGCTTAGTTTGCATTTCCTCTTTTTAAATGTCACTTAGAAATCAATATTTACCAATTTATTGTACAGGTACCACACTGATGAAATGTTCCAAAGATATAATAAAAACTCATAGCTACTAGAGTTTTATTTGGAAAATATTAACTGTTATGTAGTTAAACTATCTAGTTCTTAGATGCTTTCCAAAAAAAATAAGATTTAAATTTCTAATTCAGACTTTTCTTTCTAAAACATGGTGACAATTTAATGACAAGTCATTTTCAGAAATAACAATTTCTGAAACTTTTTAATAAGCAGCTTGTAGTTAGAACATATATGCACACTGGAAAAAGGACAGATGCTTTGCAAAAATTCTGGAGAAAACAGTGCTCATTACCTAGTGACAGAAAAGTCTAGGTATATATTCAAACATTTTCTGAGAAAAAGAAAATCCACTGCAGCAATAGAATTTAGAAAATATTCTTTTTCTTATCAGTAGGAACAATTACAATAAATGTAGCCAATTCATATGTAGCTCTTTCAGTTGGCAAATTAAGAAAACCAACTACAAAAAACAACACCTACAAAAAACAAACACTGTTTGCCAACAGTGATGCTTCTTGAACTAGAACAAATGCACCTACCATACGTACATGTAACGCTCACACTATTCTGGAAAGCTTTTTCTTCAGCATTTTCAAATCCCAGTAAATACGATTTTAAAACTAGTAAGTTTTCATCTCCATAAAAGCCTAAGCCAAAGAACCCAAAACACCACACAAAACCAAGCTGATCATCTTCATCTCACAGAATCCCTTAAAAATACTTTCTTTCTTGGAGACTCCATCTTATTGCTGACTTCCACAGTGACACATTTGATCTTTGTTATTGTTTCTAGTTACTCTGTAATTGCAGGAGTGTTTCTTACCAGACATGCATGCTGTACTGATATGCCTATTCTCTTTCCTCCTAGTAATCTGAAGATATAACTAATAAATAAGTTACTCCTAGGGATATCTCCTTCACCCCTAAATATACACACACACAAAATAACTGTTTGCACTCAGTCAGAGGAGACCACACAGAAGAAGTGGAAAAAACTAGCTTACCATTACTCCATATGGTAAGTTAGCTATTAAACCCAAATAAATTACTTCTGTAGTCTAATCCTACTGCATGTTGGTTATAAAGGCTAATTGCGAAGTCGATGTCCTCTAGGTGTTCTCTTGGTGACTTTTTTCCTTTAAATTTAAACAAAGCGTGCAGTTTAAATTTTTGTACTTTTAGCCATGCACTCAGCCTAGACATTAAAAATGCAGAACTTTTCAGACAGACTTTAGTCAAATAACTACTAGTCTTTCAGTTGTACTTTTCAAAACAAATAAATGGTTGCCACCAAAAGAGATGATTTTAAGCCTTCGGAAAGCAGTCATGTACTTCTAGAGTGCAATATCCAAATGCCTGAATCAATAAGTTAGGAGGGGATAAGGGGATGAAGAAACAACAGTATATATCTAAGCCTCATGGCAGGAATACTATTCAAGGGGGTGAAGAAAGTGACAACTGAAATTAGAAATGGACTCCTACTCAGCAGATGCCTTTTTTTCCCCATAAACTTAATAGAATACTACAGATTGGCCTTAATAATGTATAACAGGTGCTTTCCTGAAGATATGTCTTTTCCTGCATTTAAACACAACATATTTTAGTGCAGCACACTAGCACTTATTCATGGAACAATGCTGAATAATGGGTTCAGTAGCTAAGGTTATAAAAATGATAATTTCTTAGCACAAATAATAAATTACTTCAAGCTTATTTATTAAGTCTTAAATATCAGAATAATTTTTTGAGTTAGGTCTGAAACGTCTTGGTAGATACATCTAGGAAGAAAATAACCATGATAAGCAGCTGTCATCCTACTAGGTAAGTAGCTCACACGTCTATTTTCTTACTGAAGTTATTACCTTACCACTCAGAACAATGGGAGTTCAGAAGAGGAGAACGTGCAAGAGGCATTATGCATTGCCTCTGCACAAATATTCAGAATTAGGAAATAACAGCAGCAATGTGGACTTAGCAAAAAAAAAAAAAAAAAAAAATCTATAAATGCCAACACTTGTGTATCTATGAAAAATTGGCACCAAATGATGAATTTGCCGATGATTCAGATACATCTTTATGAAGAGACATCTTCAAGATTATAATGAATCAGAAGTTATGAACCTTGAATTATGCTCTTAAATATTGCTATCCTTGATTAATTTTGTCTGTATTTCCATGATATTTCAAAACTAGTATCTGGTATTTCTTAGGAAAGAATAAGACCATATCATTAAATTTCTCCCGCAGAGACTTTCAGATGAGATTTTTAAAAACAAGGGACCTATCTATCAGTCTGTGAGCTGTTTCCACAATAGTTTTCAAAGCAGTAAGTACAACTTCACTGTGTCTGTCCAAAGAAACTCCTTCCTCTCTCCCTTCCATTATTAGATACTGTAGGGATAGGTGCAACTGCGCAAGAATTTGTAACAGAAAGCTAGAACTTGCTTCACTCAGGAAGACTGCAAAATGCCTTCTCAAATGAGGTGGTTTTTTTCTTCCTTCTGCATTTCAGAGAAAGTCACAGGGAGAAGCTGTGAGCAAGTTATTTCCTTGGTACACAGAGAGATAACATGTTTGCAGACATGTACAAGGCTGCTGTGGGCCAGAGAAAGCGGGGGAGGAGAGAGAGAAGATACAAAAGGCCTTGGAGAAGGCAGGGCATTGCCTTTTGCCCTGGTACCCGATGCCATCGTTAAGAAGTGGTCCATGCATCTGAAATAAACATTTTTTTAACCCTTCCACTGCCTTGGCATTCTTGGGAAGCATATCTGCATATGTTTTACCTTACAGATACTAAGCACTAATAAAATGAACGAGTCAAGTATGTAATTTATTAATGTTTTGAAAAACTGAACTTGGAAAGCTGCACAATACTGTTCATTATGCACACCTGCCACAGAGTCACCAGGAAATGTCTTCCTAGGAAACCAATGTTTTTTCACAAAAAAGTAAGGTAGAATTTATTTGTAAGTAAATTCTACAGTAAAAACCATTAAATATACATTACTGACAAAGTGAAACTTTCTACTAGCTTTGTACTTGGCATGCTGCTCCCATTGGAGCTGGGCACTTGGCTCCAGAGTTCAAGGCTTATTGACAGAAGTGATACACTGTCATACTCCTTAACCTACTTTAAAACACTTAATATTTACTTAATTATTCTTTTGAGATACAGAATTTTTCAACTGAATTGAAACAAGAATCAAAACTGAGTGTCTGAGTTTCTGAACAAAACAATTTTAGAGTTGTCTTCAAAGTTGTAGGGAGACTTTTAGAAGGTTAAGAGAATAGCAATAGGTTCCCGTATTCCTGAAATATTAACCTGCCTAAGGAAGAAAAAAAAATTGTCACAAAAACACCGTGAAGCTATCTGCAGCAAGCACTAATAAAATACAGCTTGAAGAAGACTGCTTATAAAAAGAGAAGTAGTGAAAAGGATTACAATTACACTTCTTTCTTATTCACTACTAAGAGTCCTAAGACTATTGTGATTTAATTTTGTAGGTTAGCCTACTCTACTGCACAGAAATAACAAAACAGCATCCTTTGACTTCAAGGAATAGGGATAGTTCTGTTTAATTCCCTGATGAGCTTACATGTGGGAAAAAAAATGCCCTAAAACATCATACCAGCTTAAGAAAAGATGCAGAACTTCCAAATTCTCCATCTTTACAGCTTCTTTGTTAAGAGAAACATGCAGAACTCTGTAGAAGACAAAATTAAAGAAAATAGGCTTCTAAAATGATGAGAAAGGAGAGCAGGGCTAGCACCACTTCAGGCACTTGACAGTAAAAGCCAATTCATAAAAGCAGCAATTTGCTTGACCCTGTGGATATAGAAACAATATTTTTTGCA